TGTGCAGGTTTTTGTAGATAATGTTGATTTTGTTAAAGAGTTGGAGTAGAGTTTCTGATCTTGGTCTTTGCAATCTTGAGAGACTGACGTCAAGTCACTGGCAAATCAAAGATAATCTTGATTTAAGCTGCTTGCAGGCTTGCACGATACAATGTACCATATTCAAATCCGAGTTTTGTAGATAGTTTATTAATGATTATAGCAATGACCAGAGTAGCCAATTTCTTTACCTTTATAAAATAAAGCAAGTTAGTTTGAAGCACAAATCTCTTTATTTCTTCATTTTATGTACTTTTAACGATTTTATAATAGTACAAATTGTCTAAATTTCACATTGGATATTTCATAATAGTATTCTCACAATTTCTTGGCCTTTCCTACCTTGAGCGTTGTTATAAGGAACTTCAGTATTCTGAAATAAGGATTTAAGTGAAGTAATTTTTTTCTTTTTTTACACATTGAAGTTTAGGTGAGTTGGATCTTTAGGCATCACAATGATCAGTGCATGTCTCTAAACTCAAAGAACGTTTAAAAAGATATTTACAAATCGCCTTATCAGCAAGACTCTTACATCGGTAACAAGATTTGAACCCACAATCTTATGTATTATGAGTTAATTCCTTACTAATTAGACTAACTTTTATTAACAGGATTTAAGTGAAGTAATAATGAGATAGAAATTCACTCCCCCCCAAACCCCAACACGCGCGCACACACAAAGTTGTATGTAATTCAGGGGATGTTAATGGTGTATTTGCATTTTGCTAATTATCAGGATTATCTGAAATCTCAATCAGAAAACAACACGTGGATAAATTGAAGTCACTTCATTACATGATATTGAAATCCTGGGGAGAGAATGAAATAGTTGCTGGTAAACCCTAATGATGCATGACTGGGTCTTTAATGCTAGCCAAAAAAACACAATAATAAAGAGGTTGGGGAGGTAGATCAATGACTGTGTTCTTCACAAATTCTGATCTGACCAGATCTCAGTACAACTACAGCATGATATTCTCTGAATTATAGTTGTTGTTTTTTTGACTTTTGAGAACAGAGGATGTAATACATATCCCATTGACAGGCACAAACAAATGATTACATACTGCCCAGTAAGGAGTTGACTTGATATATATATATGTGATCATTATTAAGTGAAGGAGGTTTGTTCGGGGTGAATGATAAGCAGAAGCAATTAATATTCAATCTAAGCCTTGTTTTACTGTGATGGCCTGGCATGATCATGATTAGCAATGGCAGATGAATTTCAGGGCTGGCCGGAAGAGACAGATTTGATTTCCATTCATAGTTTTGCTTTAACCAAACTTTCTTTCCTTTTCCTTTTAGCCTCTCTGTTAATGGTAGGTGAGAATCTGCCTGCTTGTCTGGTCCCCCCTTTATGGCCCCCTCTACATTTAAAAGGCCCTATGTAGTTTGTAATGAGTGTTTGTGAGTTTTGCCTTTCCCTGAGGTCTTGGGGAAAAAAATTGAAGAATTAGCTTTGGCTAGGCCCTCTTAGAGCCTTGGCTTTAAATGGTTTGCATGCCTTGGATAGGCCATCTGTGTACTTCTCTCTTTATGTTTGTCTATCAAAATGTTTCATTTGCATCTTCCCGTGAAGATGCATGTGAGAGTATCATGACCATTCTACTTAATTTTGGTTCATCTTTCCATTTGAATTTTTGAAAATAAAGTGCATGTGAAAGTTATCATAGGTAATAAGGTAAGCGGTGAGAAAATCTATAAGATCCACTTCTCTTTTACTCGTTTTCTTTCTTATAATTCTCTTAATTTAAAGTAAATGTTTCATGATTTTTTTTTACTTTTTCTTATTATTTTAGTGATTATTAAAGATGTTTGATTCGCAAGATATAAAAGAGAATAAAATAAGAAAAAGTAATTTTTTTGGATAAAAATAAAAAAATACTTAAAATCAAATAATTGTTATTGAGTTTTGATGTTGAGAGAAAATAGAAATTGCACACCTTGAATTTCGTACAATGGAATGGAATCTGATTCCATTATTATCAAAGCTACCAAAAGTTACACTTTATTGGTCAAAAAATGGAGGAAAAAATATATTCTGACCCATATTTTTAGTTAATATTTTTTTTTGACAAACAATATTTCTAATAAGTCCATGTATCTCTCTTAAAAGTGTATGAACTTAACTAATTGGATTTTTTTTTCTTTTAAAAAACATGCAAATAAACCTAAAATTTTTGGTGCTAATCATTTCTACTATGGCTACACATCATGGAAAAACAGCAAGATTCTGGTAAAACCACAGAGACCATACTGGAAAAGAGCAGTGTGGTAGGATGGGGCCATATAGCCATACCCATATTTCCCAAAGTTTTTTTTTTGGCACAAAAGAAAGGAATAACTAGCGACCTGTTTTTTTTCCCTGTTTTCTGAATAATTTATCTTATGAAAAACCAAAAAAAAAAATCAGAATATGTTTTTTTATATTTTGTTACTTTTTCTTCTACAAAACTAACTTACAACATTGTAATTTCATTAATGCAGTGAAACAAATTATTTTTTACCCTTCACTTTACCATTATAGAAATGTTTTTCAAAATAATGATTCAAAAAGATTTTTTGTAAATTTTCTGTTTCCAAAGTTTTATCTAAAAAAATTACCCCACAAAATTATTCTAATGACACAGAAATAGAGAACAGAGCCAAACATGGCCTAATTCTCTCTCAAATTTCAGAGACGAGGATCCAAAGGAATTATGTGATGTTAATAATTACCACATTACTTTCACTTTTTGCATTTTCTTCATTTTGTACTGATGACTTAGTAACGGTCGTCATTATGGCACTTACTGAACCAGAGGACACTGATTTTTTTTTTTATTTACTTTTTTATTTTGGCTTTTATATATCGCCACCACCTTCCTTCTGTCTTCTACATTAATCTTCCTCAAACTCCAAACAAATGGATGGTAACACAGAAAACTCAAAGCTTCCTTTTATTGCAGAAAATCATCACTGCTTATCTCCTTCTAACCTCTTTCATAAAACCCCACCTGCCCATTTCAGCAATCTCTATCCTATGTTCTCTACAATAGGGAAGTTCAACAAGCTCCAAAAAGAAACTACTCAGAAAGCAGATTCTTCTATGGCATGTGAAGAAGAAGATGAAGCTTTTTCTGGGGATTATTCTTACTATGATGTTGCAGCTAGTGAAAGTTGCTGTGCTAAGTCAGACACAGATTCTTGCAGCCAAGTTGGTGATGCAGATGAAGATGAAGATGATGAGGAAGAGGTGAGTTTGGTTGAGTTGTTGCAGAATGATGCGAAGGCCAAAAAGAAAATGGAGGTTTTGGCTGAAATGGTTGGAGTTGACAGTACAGAACCAGGGGCAGTGTTGACTGAAGTTGTGAGAGTTCTGAAGCACTTAAGGAGGATGAGCCGGTTTTAATTAACAAGGGCTTATATCTGTGTGTGTGTGTGTGGTGGTAAGAATGTTCAGTTCTTACCTGTTGAAATGCGACTGTGTAATTTCTGAATTTGAGAAATTCTCTTTCTTGCCTTCTCTATCTATCTGCATTTAATATTTTTTCCCTGGTTTACACTTAGTTTATAAATTGATAAGGGAGGTGACACTCGAGGTTTGAAGGAAAATAAATCCTCTACAACTTTTCATTACTCATGTATGAGAAAGAAATTGCTTCTTTACAGAGGTAGAATCAGGATCACCTGAAGAGAAAGTTACAGAAATTTGATATGAGAAAAATTAGACATTTTAGTACTATAAGGTTGTGTTTGAAGATCCATTTGTAAACTATGGATTCAAATCCAGCTTTGCACTTGTTGGAAAAATTGGGGTTTGTAAGATGATGTCACAAAACTTTAAAATGTGTTATTTCAGCTAAATTTGGAAAATGTCATTTTGGGGTTTCAAAATGGACACAAACATGGTTAGCAAATGAACCAAGTTTGCTAAACATCAATTTGAACCTTTAAAAACCAAAATCCAAACATGCCCTTAATTTAGGATGGAAAAGATACTCATATCTTTTTAAAAAGCGATATTAATCTCTAGCAATCATCCAATTCTTAAAACTGGAATACCTTTCTAGATTTTCAAAAAGCTGTTAGAAAAGGAAGTAAAAGATACAGCAGTTTTATGCCCCCCCAAAAAAAAAAAAAGAAAAGAAAAAACAGTCCCAACCATTTCCTCCTTTCTTCTGGGTTGTCCAAGAAATCATTTTCCCATCAATTTGTTGAACAGAAAATCACTCATTAATGCCGAAGCAAAAGTTGCTGAAAGTTTCTATGAACATCATGAGAATTGAAATACAAGCTATATAGGGACATTGGGTTAATTATAAGAGTTGACTAAAAGTAACTCCAACAAATGCCCTTTGAGTGAAAACATATTGTTTTCTTTTTTCTTTTTTTTATTTGTTTGAGTACGTGTGTTTGTGTTTTCTCGGGGCAACGGGATGAAGTCGATACTAATCATGGATGGAAAATAAAAAAATTACATTAGGAAAACTCTCCCATTCGAATCTGACCATCAAATTTGATATGGCAACACCGACCGTCAAATAATCATAGACAGTATAATGGTAATTTTATAAATAGAATATGCCTTTTATCTCGTTGAATAGAAAATAATTAGAATTAGAATTAAAAAATAAGAAGTGTAAATATTCTAGCAAAATAATACATACATACCTCGATTATTGTACAAAAAAATAAAATCGCCCTTCTTTTATGACTAGCAAGCAGAACCTAGCATAAAGAGAAACTAATTGAACCCACCACTTAAGATTTTAATTATCAACAGTGACTTTAAACTGAAACAACCGTCTATTAGTATTTTTTTCCCCCCCTCTCTTTGGAATTATAGGGAAGATTAAACCACAAGCTCTTGGTAAATCTTTATGCAACTTAGGTCATTGACACCCGTATGGTAGTTGCTTTCAAATTTGGCTTACAATTTATTTTACAAGCAGGTATTTGACCCAAAAATTTTTTTTACGAGCAAGGAAATATGCTGCGTCTGAAATTGTACTGACTTGGACTTGAATAGCCAAAAAACCCTCCGAATAAGCCGTACGCCTTTCCATCAAGTCATCAACCACTTCTTCAACATGATAAGCTAGTATGGGATAGGCTGGGTTGTCTTCCGAGTTTACTTTACTTCGTATGCATCTTAAAAGAATAGAACCAGAAAGATCAGGAGACAAATCTGGCCCGCATAGAACAATTATGACAACGAAAGGGCATGAGCAACATAAAGTTGTGGGTAATCTTACTTACCAACGGATCCCCAAGCACCAGCTAATCTAAGAGTAATGATCACCATAAAAACTGAATCTTGCTCATTGCTTGCCCCCTGAGAGTTGCCCAGATCAGCACTGAGGGGGAGTTTGGGAACCCTTTAGAAGCACTAAAAAAAAAAAAAACTTTTATGTAATTTGAAACAAAATTCCTCACATACTTACCTGGAGCGCACCATAAAATTTTGAAAAGCAAATCCAAACGCCCCTTAAACAGAATGAGAACACATCTAATAATCTATTAATAGAAATCACAGATCAAGTTTTCAGAAGACCTGTGGCAACCAGCGTTCATGCCAAAAACAGCTGTTATGCTCATTACAAAGCCCCAGACCTCATAAAGCAGTTAAACGACAATCCAATCTGGCACAGAAAATCCATTCTCAGATTCCAAGGGTTCAAAACTTCCAGTTGACGGCTTCAAAATGCACAAAAGGGACACGGATTTGTAGAACCTTGATATCGGAAGTGACAAACAGACGATAACTATTTTGATCCCTCAATTAAAGGTGTCACAGAAATATCCAATATTAGAACAGAGGTTTGCAGAATTTCTGAGGCATCTGACGTCACCGCTCTGGCCCCAAAACACCAAAAATGAAAAAAATAAATAAATCTCCCCTTTTGTCCATAAAACTTCAGCAGAAAGCTGCCGTCCAAATCCATATGGTTTTAACATATAATCCAGCATACATTTTTATATTAAAGCACCATCACAAGGTAAGCTAGGTTGTTCCCGGTGTAATCATGGCCACTTTCAAACCTATTGAATCCACATCGAACTATTGAAAATCAGCCAGAACATGCCTTAAAGATGATGTGAAGTAGAAACGATGGAATCATTTATTTCCTCAAGGTATTTACTAAAGGTAGAAGCAGGGTCCTGCTGATAGCAGCATGCATATAAATGGCAATTTTCTGTCATAAATGATCCAGCAGATAATATTGTCTGTAAAAGAGTCCTGCCAAAGTATAATTAATAACTGAGCAGCCTACTCGTAATTTGTTTAAGCACAGGAATATCAGATATTTGGCGTTTCATCAAACCTTGAACTTGGCTGAAATAAACCCAGCCTCTATTCATTGGTCTCGAGAGTGAAGATACAAATTAAACAGGCCAAGTGTCAGAGTATGTGCACCTACAAGTAAATAAGTTCTTCTGGATCATCTTGGTTGTATTAAACAAAAAAGTTACAGCACGCTAAGTTAATAAAGTTAACATTAATCTAAATGAGCAAATGTCTAATCTTTCTAGCAACTAATGATATCATATTACAAAATTTGACACAGCATGCTGGAATATTTCTTTAAATAACAATATCAAGACAATAACCAAGATGATTATCAAAATAGCGAGACAAGGCTCTTGATAATTGAGCACTAAAATTAAAGACCAGAAAGAAGTTAAGTATTTTTGTGATTGCAAAATAAAAGCACCAAACCTTTGATATTTCTCAGAAAACCATTATTTCAGAGATCTTTCAACCAAAACTTTTGCCTCAGAATTGGTATTGTTTATATTCTTGAGAACCTGGTCACTGACAAGAAATTGCAACCGACCAAAATGAGAAGCAAACGATGTGATAAGAATAGCAGTAAAAAGGAGAGACAATCAGTAACATGCATGAGATTCAGTTTAGTTTCCCAGTTCTAAAACTAAATGTATGGATGCTTCATAACTAAATAAATGGGCAATTGAACTAAAAGTATATTGCTTCTTATTTAAACGAGGAAACTAAAATAACGAGGTAAAAAATGAATAAGCATCAAAGACAGAGGCTGAAAAAAAAAATATTGATAAAATAAACTAAAAAGAAAATGGTCAAATACACCTGCGATACATAATATTGTTGATCAATCTTTAACGACTGGGTCACAACTTGTCACATGAAACAAGAAAAATAACTGTTAAAGTAAGGAGAGGGAGCAACTCTCATACATTAATGTTACATAAAGAGATGAATACACAGCAACAGGATCATGGTGGTCCACGTTTCAAATATATGTACAGCACAGAAGCCAAGCCAGAGCAGTCTATATTTCTTATAATGACCAATTATTTGCAGTCCGAAAGTAGCGTGTGGTCTTAAAGGAGAATTGATGCAATTTATCATCTTTGCCGCACAGTTACAGTCTCCATCAATTGATCACCAAAATATTTTTTTTACCAGCCATTTGAGGAATATACGCCGAATCCACACATTTGCAGCTTCAAATATATGCTGAGTCTTCATGACCTGATTCAAAGCTGGAAATACAGCATAATATTATCAGTCAAGGATAAGGGTAACATAAAGATCATACACAACAGAGAGAGAGATATTCTTTTTTTTTTTTGGGGGGGGGGGGTTTAAACAAGAAGTCTACCATATAGATCATTCATTTGGCAGAAGATATGCGTTGCAGAGATGAAATCCAGCTACTTGAAGGACCAATCTTACTGCCTTGGCCACGAACAGGGTTTGCAGCTTCAGTGGTCAAGGCGGGCTTCAGGAATTTCCTTTTTGAGGTACCAGCATGTGAATATGAAGTAGAAGGCATATTTGCTTCTTCAAAAATCTACGAAAAAAGGGGAATATGTACTAAAGACTAGTTTTTTTTTTTTTTCCTCCAATAATTTAGAAACATAATAATAAGAAACCATAAAAGTGCGACTTCAGATTTGCACAAGTCACAAGTCACAAATCACAACAAAAAAGCAAAAAATAAAAATTCTACTCAAATATGGTGACTTACATTCTTTTCAACAGGATTACCAACACCCACATTTTTTCCTGCTGTTGATTTAAACTGCATCTTAACACCAGAACCAGTAGCATTGCCAGATCTAATGTGCTCCGATACATCCCCTGAATAAGCATAAACACCTGATATTTGGTAAGAGCAAAAAAGTTTTAAAAAAAAAAAAATTCAAGACATTTGATTGCAGCTTTAAAACCGAACAAAAAAGTGGGCTGCTACTTCACCCATCTTCCTTGATTCACTAAGTGAAAATTGAAATCAAATTAAAGTCTAACAACAATACACATAAAAAAGAAACAAACATGTCAAAGCTTTATCGTGTTGTTGTTGTTGTTCTCAAAAGAAACATGCATTGCTCAGGCATTTTTTTTCCTTGAAAAACAACTGATTAAATGATAATTAACAAAACTATCAATTTCCCCTATTTATTTGGCGCTTCACATAAATTCATTTCTTGATAGGTTAGCAACTGAAAATCACATAATTAATTTAAAATGCACAAAGAGATAAATAACATCTAACCATGGGAATTGTCAACAACCGTTGGCATTGCCTGACTTCTGCGTGCTCCAGGAGCTGGCTGTGATATGCCAGAATTGAGCATTGTCAGAAGCGTGGTGATATTTATTGGTGTGAAAATCAACCCTAAGAAACTCAAAGAATAACCTGAAGAGAAAATTACTTACAGATGTGTGAGGCTGAACTTTAACCTTCTGTGTCTGTTGGTACTTTAAAATGGTCCAATCAAACACATAATCAAATTCAAAACCTGTCAATGCAAGTTCCGCTTAATTGCAGAGATGAAGACAGAGGTAAAAATTGGAAATTGCACATGTCAATAAAACCAAAGGACCTTCTCACATGCAAGAAATCTTCAAGTGTAGAACACAGTTAGTTATATCGTGTGTCAAAGTAAGCTGTATATGTGTAGGTATAAAGTTGAAGAGTTATGAAAAATTCTAATGCTCTCAGCAGAAACGACAGAAAAAACATAGAGTATTGTATAAGCTGTTTATCTTCTGAAGAATCCATATTATTGTTATATTCATTTTCCCATAATTTGGGCAAAACCTATTCATTCCTCTATCATTCTATTTCACAGTAAACATTCTTGCTGGAACTCGCATATTAATAATTGAGCTCACAAAGAGCATTTCAACGGCCTGTCAACGCAATTCTGAAATCCATTTGATTACGCATTATTTAAAGGATGAAAAGCATAATCACCTTGTCGAGCAAATAGGTCCCGGAAAAGACGCTTCAAAAACCCATAATCAGGTCGCTGGTCAAATGTCAAAGAGTGGCAATAATGAAAGTATGAAGCAAACTCTACAGGATGAGATTTGCTTAGGACCTTTAAAATTATAACCAAACATCTATCAGGATTAGAAAACCTTCCCAAGGATCCCAACAAAACCAAATTATCGAAAACTCACCTCAATAGGAGTTGATACTTTCTTTTCGCATATTTTATCATACTTTTGCTTCTTTGTTGCAGCCTTTAGACCTTGCCAAGGAAGACTGAACACAAATTCATTGCCATTTAGAAGTTAACAACACCATCCTATCACTCTGTTCTTAATAAACAGTGGATTTTGGAGAAGAAAAACTGGCATATCTAAAGCAGCTAGAGAAGAATGACTTACCTTCCTCTAAGGAAGTACAGAAGCACATATCCTAGTGACTCCAAGTCATCCCGGCGGCCTTGCTCTGCATTTAATATCACCAATTAAAAAGATACAACTATTTTGCAATTTAATTGCGATTGCAGTGAAGAGGATAAGTGACTTCACGCTTACCAATGCCAAGGTGAGTATTACAACTTGCATAACGTGCAGTACCTGTTAAGTTTTTGTTCTCCCTGTATGGTGCAATTAGGGTCAGAAATGCGATTGATAATTTGGTACAAAGGTTACTCTGTACCATCCCAGGGAGAGGAAAGGAGAGATAGTGAAAGGAAAGATTTTCCAGGAAAAGTTTAGAAGTTTTTCATAAACTGATTGATGTAATAGATTCAAATAATAAAACAATTCAAATTGATATACATATAATTCTCTCAACCAAACATCAGCGCCTAAAAGACAATAACAAATAAAAACGAAAACTCAGAATTGAACGTTTAAATACCGGTAAGGAATATGACTTTTGGTTGTGGGATCCCGATATCGTTTTGCAAGCCCAAAGTCAATTACGTAAACCTGACAGATACAAAACAACCACCCATTTAGCACCATATTTAGAACAACAAATAATGGATAGGATGACAGGCCAAGTAACGCGTGATCAGAGAAAGACAGAAACAACAAAATAGTTTTACCTGATTGGCCTTCCGCCCAAGTCCCATGAGAAAGTTATCAGGTTTTATATCTCTATGTAGAAAACCCTTAGAATGAACATATTCTATTCTAGCGATCTGCATATAAGAAATGTTAATATCCCATTGCATAAGCATCACAAACAAGCTTATGACAGAATTTATTATTTGCAGGACAAATATTAGACAAAGATGAAGGATGCTTGCTTCCAGTGTTTTCAGCTGAACAGATGGGAAGCTAGCAAAGAAGAGATAATATAAATATGTGAGTGACATTGTATGCCGGCACATAAGTGCACTGATAATTCACCAATACACATATTCATCCGCTTTGGAGATTATGCTTAGGCCCCAATTTGCAGCTGTCAAAACGTCATGCCAACTTACCATCTGATCAGCCAACATTAATACAGTCTTCAACGAAAACTTTCTTCCACAATACACAAAGAGATCTTCAAGACTGGGTCCCAGCAAATCAAGAACTAGCACATTGTCCTCCCGGTCTATACCAGACCACCTTATGCTAGGAATTCCATCTGCATCGCACATATGAGGGGCCACAAGCCAATCATTCAGAATCCAGTCACTCACTTATGGAAACGAACACATAGAAAGTCAGAAAGAGATTAAGCAATTAACATTGCAAAACTCATACTTCCTCCTTGAAGAACATGATACAGTTTTGCCTCATAGAGCAGTTGTGGATGCTTAGTTTTAGTGTTCTCCTGCGACATTCCAAAACACAATAGTTAAGTATTAAAACAAACAAAAAATGATAATGTAATAATTCTACTTGACACCAATCTCTCTCTCTATAAATATATATGTGCTCATACCAGTAAGCTAAAGGATACAAGCTAAATAGTGCATGCACGCCTAATCCATCATGCAAACCTGCTCCACCTCAAAAGGGTAGGAAGCCTCTCATATTTAATCGATTGACATGCATAGAGGAACAAGTTGAGACTTACAATTTTAACCGCGACTATCTCAAAAGTATCGACATGAGTAGCTGAAACAGAGTAAGCAAAATAAACAAAGATAAATCAGTATAAAGCAAGCCAGAACGAGCATTTCCCAAACCAAAAGAAAAAAGAGAACGCTACCGAGGTAAATTTCACCGAAGGATCCGCTCCCGATCTTGCGGCCGAGCTTGTACTTGCCGCCGATGATCCGCTCCATGTTAAATACTTAGAAAAGGTATTTTGGAAACTATCCGCGCATGAAAGAGAAGCTAGAATTCAACAATTCTCCGATCTGAATCTGATAATAGAAAGAAGAAGGCTTTCGGTGACTCTGAGTAACTAATTGCTTGTCTCGTTCGTTCTTCGAACTTCGATGCACAGAGGAGAAACCGAAGCCACACGGGAACGGAGGACGGTAACGAAGGGCATAATAGATAAATGAACTAGGAAGCGAGGCTACTTCTGCCATTCTAGTTGTTGTAAATATCATCCAACCTTCCTCTCAAAAATGGCTCCACTGTCAGGCCCGGAAATTATTAGGACCAGGCCCCAACTGCGCAATCCATACCTTCAAATAGAGAAGGGGGTGTCGCAGTTAGTCACCGGCTACTGCCTCTAATCGCAGTTATAAAATCTCTTTTATAAATTATATTACAAATAATATCTTATAATTATTACCCAAAGTAATAAGATTTAAATGATTCTGAGAAAAATGTTCATGTTTAATAACCCGCAATATCTTGAATATAATTATTTTTAATAAGAAAATACTTCTACTTTAAAAAAAAGTATATTCCAAGTTTGGATTCTTGTTAAAAGATGTGTTTAGATTTAATATTTTTTTGGTTCTAAATATAAATTCCACTTTGTAGTCGGTACTATCAAGCATTAAATATGAACATTTTTCTCATTAAGAATTTAAATTTTATTCGTCACATTGTGAGGGGCTAACCTCTTCGGTTTCGCTGCTAATTATTGATCTTTGTTGATCATGGAGCCTGATTTGAAGAGTTGACTGGGTTGGTGCCTTAGTTTAGAGTGTGCTTTTTTTTTTTTGCTTTTATCAGGCTTTGTATAGTGGTATTTTTATTTTATAATATAATGCGCTAAAAAAAGTGGGCTTCTACAATAAGATGTTCAAAGGGGGGCCACAACTTGCCGCATCTTTGAGCCCATACGCAACACAGAGGCAGAAGCCCCGACTATCGCTCCGACCATCGCTACCGGCGAGACCGAGAACCCTGATGAGTTCCTGAAGACGAGCTAGAGAGAGAGAGGGATGGTGGGGGATATAGAGAAGATGATCGCAGTGGGCCTCGTATGGGGCGCCACGAATGCTGTCATGCGCCGCGGCGCTCTTATTTGGGATCAAGCTCTCAAATCTTCGTCCTCGTCGAAACCACTCCACCACTGTACCACTCTTCCCAAGAGATTTCTATTTTCTCTCAGAAATTGGCTCAAGCTTCTCGCGATCTGGCAGTACACCATCCCCTTCTTGATCAATCTCTGCGCCTCTGCCACTTTCTTTGCTATTCTCAGTGACGCCCCGATTTCGCTGGCCGTCCCCGTCACCAATGCGACGACGTTTGCCGCCACCGCCGTGTTTGGTATGCTCCTTGGCGAAGAAACCCACGTCCCTCGAGCTTTGTTTGGTACGGCTGTTATCATATTGGGAGTTTGGTTATGTATTAGCTAATCAATTTTTTACTTTTGGTTTGTTTGATTGTGAATCTCAATTTTCGACTCTTGTTTTGAAATTTTGAGGTGTATAGTTTATGTTGATGAGTTCTGAATTCGGTTCTTGTTTGTTTATCTTGTTGATCCTATAGTTTCAAAGTTTAGTGCTGGAATTAGTTGGCAAACGAAAGTCTCTGATCCCATTTATGATTTAAGAAGTGGTTGCTTTCCTATTGTTACTGTTTTGTTGCCTTTCTTCCCAGTTTTGGTTTTAGGTATTTGTATATGATTATGCTTTATTTACTATCATCAAAACTACATGAAATGCTACCTGCCAAAAAGATGATGAAATCAGCATATATTGTTGAACATGGGTTGACTAGTTAATGTGAAAGCAAGCGAAGGCAATCCAACATTAGTTCAAGTTGTATTGGGTAAGGGTTGTTTTGGGTTCAGAATTGAGCTCACTTGCAACTTCTAAAGGTTTGTTTGTATCTGCCTTTATTTTATAAATTATGATTAAAAAATTATTTATAAGTCATTCTAACAAGCTCTTGTGTGCTTAAAATCCAATTGGATTATGCTCTTCAGAGCCCAGCATAAAATGGATCCCTTTGAAGTTTGTATTGTTCTGCTTTCAAATTTCTTCTTGTTTGTTCCTGAAGTCGACGAGCCGGCTTTTATTTGATTCACTTTATGTTACAATTAGGTTTTTATGTTTAGATGCATAGAAATATTAAAGTAACAGAAGTTACCGTGCATGGCAATCTAGTATGAACTCTTTCATTCATTCTCGCTTTTTTTCCGGTGCATACTTTTATGTAAAGGTCGTCAAATAGCATTGATGTCTTTAACTTTTTACCTCTTTATATTTGTTTTTTTGGGAAAAAATATATTATATTTCCGGTTCAAAATATAAGATAAGCTTTATCTATTTACGTTTATCAAAAAATTAGTTAAAATCAGTGTAAAATAATAAATATGTAAGGCATATTTTTTTTTGGGAAGTTGCAAAAAAAAAACCTTAGAATTGTAAAAACGCAGAGAGAGACCCTTGACAACTTTACTTTGGGTTTTGACAACTTGATAACATATTATTATTGTCAAAAGCTATAGTGAAGTTATCAAGGGTCCTTATCTACGTTTTTGCAATTTTAAGGTCTTTTTTTGCAATTTTTTTCCTCAAATATGTCCTTATTAATAAGGAGAATGAATAAAAGATGCAATAAATGAATCAAACATAAAAGAAAATAGGGAAAATTGCAAATAAAGACCCCCAATATATAAAATGGCAATCAGGGACCCTGAATTTGAGAAATTACTCACAAGGACCCGGTCCCAATTTGCAATTATGAAATCGTGGCCAAATTACAAAATACCCCTCTTTAATTTTTTTTTTAAAAGAACACCACTTCCTCGCTGAAATTCGGCCGCTGGCGCCGGAGCTCCACCGGCTGCCAGCCGTCGGAGCTCCGATGCCGGCGGCCGGATTCCGGCCATTGCCGGCGGCTTTCTTTGTTTTTTTTTAAACTGTTTTTTTTTTAAATAGGGGGAAGTGAGGTTGGGGGGATTTGATCCCCCAACCTAATGCTTCCCAAAATTAGGAATGACCATCGAGCCAACAAATTTTTGCTAACATTACAATACAAAAAAAAAAGTTAACTCATTTATTCTTGTTCCAGGTGATAACAACAATACTTTTAGAAATAACAAGTTCTGATTGTAAAATAACACGTCTGGAATGAAAATTTAACAATATGTTTTTTTTATAACAACAAATTTTGTTGCAGGTGATAACAACAATACATTTGAAAATAACAAGTTCTGATTATAAAATAACAAGTCTGGGATTAAAATTTAACAACACGTTTTTTTTATAACAACACACTTTGTTTAGGTGATAACAACAATACATTTGGAAATAACAAGTTCTGATTATAAAATAACTAGTTTAGAATTAAAATTTAATAGCGCCTTTTTTTATATAACAACACATTTTATTCTAAGTGATAACAACAATAGATTTGAAAATAACAAGTTTTGATTATAAAATAAGAAATCTGGAATTAAAATTTAACAACACGTTTTTTTATAACAATTAATTATTTTATACTTTTGAAAAATAAATTATTTATAACTTATAAAAAGTATTTTTAATCTATTTAATTTGCTAAAAAAATAATTTTTATCTCCAATTTATAATCAGAACTTGAAGTGTAATTTATTATAGATTAAAAATACTTTTTATTGTTCAAATTTATAAATAAAATTTAGGGAAAATGACAACACACTTTTTTAATTTTTTTAATAAAATTTTAATCTATATATCTATACAACTCATTATAAATCAAACTACTTCTTATAAATTATCAATAGTACAATTTATTGTAGATTAAAAATACTTTTTGATTGCTTAAATTTATAAATGAAATTTATCTCTAATTTATAATTAAAAATACTATTTTATTCTTTAAATATAAAAACTATTTTTAATATTTAAAGAATGAAATAATAAATTATACTATAATATTTAAATACTTAATAATAAATTTTAATATTTAAAGAATGAAATAATATAAAAATTTATACTATGATTTATAGATTAAAAATACTTAATTATAAATGCTTTATAATTTATAAGAAGTAGTTTGATTTATAATGAGTTGTATAGATATATAGATTAAAAAGTATTTTTTAGAAAAAATAAATATATCAAAAATATTTTTATAAGTTATAAATAATTTATTTTCCAAAATCATAATATAAATAATTTTCTAAAAAAACGTGTTGTTAAATTTTAATTCTAAACTTGTTATTTTATAATCAGAACTTGTTATTTCCAAATGTATTGTTGTTATCACCTGAAACAGAGTGTGTTGTTATAAAAAAAATATGTTGTTAAATTTTAATCCCAGACTTGTTATTTTATAATCAAACTTGTTATTTTTAAATGTATTGTTGTTATCACCTGCAACAAAATTTGTTGTTATAAAAAAACATATTGTTAAATTTTCATTCCAGACTTGTTATTTTACAATAAGAACTTGTTATTTCTAAATGTATTATTGTTATCACCTGGAACAAGAGTAAATGAGTTAACTTTTTTTTTTGTATTATAATGTTAGTAAAAATTTGTTGGCTCGATGGTCATTCCTAATTTTGGAAAGTATTAGGTTGGGGGATCAAATCCCCCAACCTCACTTCCCCCATAGGTTGGGGGATCAAATCCCCCAACCTCACTTCCCCCATATTTAAAAAAAAACAATTTCAAAAAAAAAAAAGGAAGGCCGCCGGCAATGGCCGAAATTCGGCCGCCGGCATCGGAGCTCCGACGGCTGGCAGCCGGGGTGGCGGAGCTCCGACGGCTGGCAGCCGGGGTGGCGGAGCTCCGGCGCCGACGGCCGAATTCCTGCAAGGTAGTGGTGTTCTTTTTTAAAAAAAAAATAAAGAGGGGTATTTTGGTAATTTGGCCATGATTTCATAATTGCAAATTGGGACCGGGTCTTGTGAGCAATTTCTCAAATTCAGGGTCCCTAATTGCCATTTTATATATTGGGATCTTTATTTGCAATTTTTCCAAGAGAATACATGGAGTAAAATTGAAAAAAAAAAACTCATTAAATGCTTGGACAAAAGTAAATGTTATCTTATACTCCCTCCAGTCTTAAGCTTCAAATTTGGGAAAAAGTGTAGTCCATTTTAGAAGCTTCAATTGGGGATTTGTCTTAATATTTAATACATTTTTTTTATTTTTGCCCTTAATTATT